CAATAATTTCTTTTCTGTCAAAAATTCATTGTTGTACAAAGTTATTTTGAAAAAATTTTTAACGTGAATGGGTGAATGGGTGAATGGGTGAATGAATTAATGAAATAAAAACGAGAAAATGAACTGAATGAGCTTCAGAAGTTGAATAGGCTTGTAAAAAAAAAAGATACTTGTTTATTTATTTACTTTATTAGTATTAGATAATTCAATAAACATACAAATATGGCTTACATAATAAAAAACATCATCCGGAAATACAAAAAAAAAAATGAGTAATACCATTATTTCACCCCATCAATTTGGAATTTGACAGTTTTTTCCTCTTCTAGAAAATTGGTTAAAATCTTGGTGATCTCCTGTCATATTTTTTTCCCCTATTTAGGGTGAGAAAATCAGGATGCCTTTTTTTGAGAAACAGGGTTCGAAAGTTGTAAGTTAATTTGACAATCCGTTTTTAAAAATTATTTATATATAGAGTTAAGAATTATTCAAATTATTCAAACTATTCGTAATTAATTTGATATTCAATTATTGAACTTTTATTCAAATAAACAAATGAAACAAATAAAATGAATAAATTTTATTTGGATCATTAGTTTAAGAACAAGAAATTGTGAGCATTGTTTCAATTGCAATTTCAGTGCTTGTTCTTTGTAACATTGATTAAATCTAGATATCCATAATTTAATTTGTTGAAGAGAAGCTTTTATTTTCAGCATGCATTAGAAGATTTTGAAAAGCTGAGTAATTCATGTGAGAAAGAGTTCAATTAAATCTTTTTCGAAAAACAAAACATTTGCAAAAAAAAAATTATATTTTTTATATATAAAGTAAATATTTCAAGCCTTATATTTCATTATAGTTAGAGAACACATAAGGAAATTTTAAAATCCATTGTGTCAAGATTAGTATTTTTATATTAATATTCAATGTGTGACAAAAAAACTTAACTATTTATGAACTAAATTAGGCAATAAGTAAACATCAATTTTAGTTTGATTTACTCCATATTTTACCTTGTTAAAGTGGAAATAGCAACTTTATTCTACACCTGTTAAATAATAAAATTATAATTCCATACATATTCCATGCATATTCCATGTATTTTCCATACATTTTTGGTGCATTTTCAGGGCAAAAATGTATGGAAAAGTGTTCTTTAATGTATAATTCCATACATATTCCATACAAAATATGTGGAAAATGTATGGAAAAACCATACATTTTCTGACTAAATTTTTTAAATGGTTGAGAAGAATCATTATCAGAAAAATAAATATTTCCTGAGTTTTGATTCAAACAAAACCTCAATACTATATTGTCAATTTGTCTGATTCACACTATTAAAAATATTAATTGTCATCACCAAAATAGTCAGTGACAATATCATCACCATCACTATCATCACATGTAAACTAACTGTCAGTGAAGTGTTTGTCAATGAAATGAATTGTCAATGAAATGAACTATTGATGAAATGAACTATCAACAAAATGACTGTTGCAAACAGTGTTGTGACCAGAAACTCTTTTGGCTTCCCAAAATGTTTTGGAAAATGAACTTACACTAAGCAGAAAACTAAACCTAAACCTAAACCTTAACATAAACTACTAGCCTAAACTAGTTTCGGGTGGTTTCTGTTAGTTTCTGTTTCTGGCTTTCCCTAAACTCAGAGTTTCGGGTCACAACACTGGTTGCAAACATGCAATCCCGAGTTACATACTTACTAGGTAATTCTTATGTTTGGGTTTACTTTGCCCCTGAATTACAGCCCATAATTATACCTATTGACACTAAGTCTAAATATCAACACACAGCTAGGACTTACTTTGCCTACTGACTTACAGTCAATACTTCTTTTATCTTATGGCACACAGTCTGGATAAAAGATCCCTAGATTGCAGTATCCATGTATATTCTAAAGGCGTCCCCTTGGCAATATGTTTAATAATTAAAGGGTTCCCAACTAATAATTAAAGGTCATTCATTAAAAGGGCTAGGAATCAATCACACTGAGTTTAGTAGTTAAGTACAATCAAAGACTATTTTATCTAAGGGTTATATATTTATTTAGAGTGTTAAGAGTTATTATTATGCTATTGTTATCAACAATATTGTTATTAACTTGGTCTAAACCAAGTATATTTATACCTCTTGGGGCAGTACAAATAATGTGATTTGTGCTATTCTACTAGAGGTTGGAATCGTCCAAAAAATCCTTAGTCAACTACTAGTTGGTCAAAATTTCTTTTAGTCAACTATTTAGTCAATTATTTTTAGTTGACTATTTAGTCGACTAAATTTTTTTAATACTAGTGTGTAACTAAGGTTGTGGGCAAAACCTCCTTAGTAATTGCTGAAATCATGGCAAAAATATATTAAATCTTATCAAAAATCCTGTTGAAACTATGCCGAAATGACAAAACCTCAAAATGCGAAACTCTGCCAAAACTCTAATAAACAATTAATGTGTAACCTGCTGAAACCCTGCTGATTGATTTCTGTATGAGTTTTGGCAAGCAACCTTATGTGTAACCATTTGCTTTGCAAAATGGTCACACACTAGTCATGGGAATAACATCCTATTTAATTAGAATATTCATTCTGTTTCATTATTATTAATGTTTTTTTTTAATTTGCCGATTACAAATTTGAATCTTTAATTTTCTCCATATGAAGCTATATGTTATAATTCGTTTTTTTAAAGGTCTAGAACCACTGCTTGAGCTCGAAGTCAACGAATTGTTGGAATGATTTGACCTTGTATCAATGTTTATTATTTCGCATGGATAATTATCACCAACACCAGCACCAACACCACCATTATCATCTTCTTCATAATATTGATACTCCACATATTTATTTTTATTATTTTCCATTATTTTATTTTTAAATTTTTTTGTACCACAAAAAATGTTTTCATTTATAATTGGCCAGATAATAATAATAATTAGTATTAGTCAACTATTAGTTGTTTAAAAAAAAAGTTAGTCGACTATTTTAGTTGATTCCAACCTCTATATTCTACTCTCTAATAATATGCTTATTAACTAATTACTAATTCTAAATAAAAATTAGTAATACATGAAATACATATAGTGCAAGCCATTTAGTCCCACAACTTTTTATTGGTTGTGTAGATTTTCAAATTCTCCAAAAATGGAAATGCAACACCCCAAAATAAATTGTGTATTTGAAGCCAAGACTTTCCTCTACAAAATCACAATTTCATCTCATTGAGATGACCCTTCCTTTTGTTAATTTTATTATTTATTTTATTTAGTTAAAAGGAAAAATTTAAAAAATTAAAAATTCACTAATTGATTTTATTGGTTACATTTGACAAAATATTCTAGCAAACATTTTATTAATTATTCAATAGTTTATACAAGTGTTAAGGACAAGATCTATGAAGCTTGCAAAATATTCTAACAAACATTTATTAATTATTCAATAGTTTATCAAAGTAAGTTTTAAGGACAAGATCTATGAAGCTTACAAAATATTCTAATGAACATTTTATTAATTATTCAATAGTTTGTACAAGTGTTAAGGACAGGATCTATGAAGTTTGCAAAATATTCTAATTAATTATTCAATAGTTTATCAAAGTAAGTTTTAAGGACAAGATCTATGAAGCTTGCAAAATATTCTAACAAAAATTTTATCAATTATTCAATAGTTTGTACAATTGTTAAGGACAAGATCGAAAAAGCTTACAAAATATTCCAACAAACGTTTTATCAATTATTTGATAGTTTGTACAAGTGTTAAGAACAAGACCTATGAAGCTTGCAAAGTATTCTAACAAATGTTTTATTAATTATTCAATAGTTTGTGCAGGAGTAATCAAAGTAAGTTTTAAGGCCAAGCAAGATCTATGAAGCTTGCAAAATATTCTAACAAATGTTTATCAATTATTTAATAGTTTGTGTAGGAGTAATTAAGGTTGCGGGAGAAACTCCTCCAGAAATCAATCGACAGAGTTTTGACAGGTTACACATTAATTGTTTATTAGAGTTTCGGCAGAGTTTCGCATTTGGGGTTTTTGCCAATCATCAGAGTTTCGACAGGTTACACATTAATTGTTCATTAGAGTTTCAACAGAGTTTCGACAGTCATTAAGAGGTTTCGCCCACAACCTTAGGAGTAATTGAAGTAAGCTTTAAGGACAAGATCTATACTAACAAAGGTTTTATCAATCATTCAATAGTTTATATAAATTTCTCTTTTATTTTAACTTATATTTAATAACATCATTATAATCATTATTGTTGTTCTAATCATCATTTACATATGTATATATGTAAAAGAAAAATTTTAATATATTTATTTGGCACTTGACAATCTTCAAAAATCATGTGACTGTAAAATTTTTATTGGATTTTTGATTGGACTAAGTGACTTGCACTATAAGTATATAGATAAATATCTTCAGTATAACATTACATGATATGCGGTGCAACCATTACAATAATATATAGAAAGATGGTCGTTGATCGTGATGTAATATTTAGTGCATCACATGACCTCCGTAGTAGGTTCGTTCTAAATAGTCAATATTAACTGGGCAATTGATAGGTCCAAGATTTACTATCTCACATTGTCAACGAAGTGATTGTCAATGAAGTGAATGCAACTGACACAAAAGTTAGCACCTTGCATCAGATAATTGGGAAAAGTAAGCAAACTAATCCTCTGACCTTTGATCACCATGTGATTTTGGACTAATCCAGCTTTCAACATAAAATCATTTTTATAAGCAAAATGAAACAAACAAATTAATTTGTATATACATTAAGAATTAAAAAATATATGCATTGTATTTATGTTATTTATATTACAGTTACAATCTCAAATATTTGTTCCAATTATATCCTCTTGGCCAAAGTAATCAAAAATAAACATTTGCTTGCAACTTCAATATGTTTTTTTCAATTAATACACTAGTCAGTCCAATGTGATAAACAATATTAGAAGCAAGGTGACAAGTTAAAATATTATACTTCTCTGGTTAAATCACTAAACAAATGGTGGATTGTAATATAATCATGTAAATATATATAAGATATATCATCCAAATCTGTTATTGGCTCTTTGGTGTAGCAATGATGTCCATAAGTCTCAAAGTAAACTGCAACAAACATTTGATCACTATATATAATAAATAAGTATATATATTGATTGACCATAAAAATACACAAACTTAACCATTAAAAATATGCAATGCAGCAACCTGACTTTAACCAAAAAAGCTCCAAATCAAAATCTGACTTCATTGGATGTTCCTGATAACTTAAGCATTAGTATTAATCATGTTTATTTGTTGTGTAATGATCAAATATGTAATTGCCAATAATTTCTTTACACACTGTGCAAAATAAATAAAATCAACATACAAACAAAAGATAATTCATATTTTAATTATTTTAGGCATGACCACATACTAATACAATATGAAAAATGAAAAATATGCGTAGATGGAATGCATGCTGAAAAAAACACTTTATCTTACATTTAATTGAGGAATGTATTGGTTAGGCTTCTATTCGAATAAGGTTTATTCAAATTATTCATTTTATTTGTTATGAATTTGAGTATTCAAATTACATTGAAAGTTTATTTGAATAAACTAATAATTCAAATAAATTTTTTAATTTGAATAAATTTTTTTTAATTCAAATAAAGAATTTGTATTATGAATAGAACCATAGAAATGATAGAGCCTATTTTTATTTTGTTTTTCAAAATCAAATGAATTAAAATTATTTCAAGAATGTGCTCATAATGTGGATCTTTGTGATGTTTTATATTAGCTTTTATTTGACTAAAAATCAAAGTTCATTTATTTTGTAGGATTCTTTAAACATATAGTTCACTCTCTCTATATTAGTAAATAAATAAATAATTTTTAATATTAATATAATAAAAAAAAATTTTTCAACAATTAATTGAATGTGGAAATCAAGTTGTGAATCAGAGATTGTAAGTGGTATTATGCTAATTTATAAATTTACAAATTTACATTTAAAAAATTTAATTATCATTTAAGGGTAGAGACCTCCTTATAAATGATTTTCATCATAGAAAATGTCCACAAAATTTAATGATCTGCACTACATTTCAATACAATATTTATAGTAAATAGCAAAATTATTAATAAAAATATTTATTTTTGTTGAGAACAAAATAATGTTTCCCAATTTTCTTGCATTATCACTGCAGTAGCACCTTCGATTGAAAGATCCACCTGTATATTAGGTAGATTCGATGGCTTAACACATTATGCACTGTATTAAGATTATTTTTCATATTTAATATACTATAATCAGATGGTAACTTGGAGTTAATGAATAAATATGCGGAGATTGTATTTTTTATATTTAATTTACACAATATCATTACTTATTACATACTGATATTGTTGTTATTATTATATTCTTAGATAATTTAATTTGAACAAAAATCAAACA